AGTGGTGGTCAACTAAACTCAGGAGATAAATCTTAAAAATACATTCAAGTACCTTAACTATTAACAAAAATGTATCTTATTTGGATATCATGCAGGCCCCTTTCACATAGGTGGCCCAACCGGGTCCGCCTGTCACTTTTTTTAGGCGTACATGATCAGATGCCCAATGCCAGTTTATACCTGGTTACCCCCAACTGTGGCCAGGTCCGGAAAAATAAAAAGGTTTTGATGTACCTGATCGTGCCAGATAGGGGGTAATCTAATGTAAAGGGACATATGTCACATGGAGGAAAAACAGGACAGACACGGAAGTCCAAGCGGTAACAATGATTCGTAGCGCTTCCATCAGGAGGAGATCCGTGCGTGGAGCCCCTCCTGATCAGCAAATGTGAAAGGGGCCTTTGCTGTAGATTCTCAAATCATCTCTGAATTGGTGCTGACACTGTCCTTTCTTCTGGAGGGTGGCTACTTTACAACACACACAGGGACCATGGGGAACAAAAGTTGCCACCGTCCAGAAGGACAGTGTCAGCACCAATTCAGAGATGATTTGAGGATCAGCAGCCGAGTGATTACATAAATAATATACTTTCTTGTTAAAAGGATACTTGAATGCATTCAAGTACCTTAAATCCTGATTTTAGAATCACTTTAATTTAGGCATTAGCAATGGCCTTCAGTAGAGCTGCAGCTAACGATTATTTTCAAAATCGATTAGTTAGCCGATTATTACGTTCGATTAATCGGTTAAAAAATAAAATACATTTTAAAAAATGGCTCCAGTGATGGACTACTAGATCGTATTGAGATTGTAGTCCATCACAGGAGCAAGCTTGGAGTGATGGAAGTAACAACTGAAAAGTGTGGTGTGCAATATAGTGAAATGAAAAAAGTGTAAAATTATACAGCAATGAATGCAGAATGGCATCGGCTATAGAGGACTACAAATCCCAGCAATAGTACATAATAGCTGGCGGTATTCTGCATTGCGCTGTATAATGTACTATTGCTGGGTGTTGTAATCCTCTATAGCTGGTGGAATTCGGCAGTGCACCACTGTATAATGTATTATTGCTGGGATTTGTTGTACTCCTATATAGCTGGTGGAATTCCGCATTGCGCTGTATAATGTATTATTCCTTGATTTGTAGTCCTCTATACAGCGCAATGCAGAATACCACCAGCTATATAGGAGTACAACAAGTCCCAGCAATACATTATACATACAGTGTATAATGTATTGCTGGGATTTGTAGTCCTCTATAGCTGATGTTATAATATACAGCACAATGTACCATCAGCTATAGAGGAATACAAATCCCAGCAATACATTATAGAGTACCATATGTGGGAAAGTGCAGACTTACCTGAGCAGTCTTCCAGCAACTTGTTTCTGAGATCAGGCCCGTCTATCGGCGGCTGTCATCCGCCCACACCTGCTCCTCCTTACTTCTTCTCCCGGCATCCCTGTGCCGATCGTGGATTTGGGCGGGCAGTGAGCGCGAGGCGGGGAGGAGGTGCGGCACGTAGAGCGTGGATGCGGCGAGCGTGAGGTGGGGAGGAGGTGTGGCGCGCAGCGTGTGTGGAGCCGTGAAAAGGGCCAACCAATCGGAAGCCGATTAATCGATGATTGAAAAAGTTGACAACTTTCTCAATAATCGAATATGTTGATTAGTTGTTGCAGCCCTAGCCTTCAGCTTCTTAAAGAAGACAAAACCTGTCCATGCTTCACTTAGAGATCTAAACAGTTCTACTAATAGAAATAATTTTGTTTAGATGGCACGCCTGGCGCTTGACTTTGTAGCTCGCTGACAATCTCGCCCCGTTATCATTTTCTCTGTAACAAATCTACCCTGAAAATAAACTAACTTTCTACTTCCTCCACAGGAAAAGAAATAATGTCTACACACAATCTCCGAGAGATAAATGAATGCTGAAATGGCTGATAACTGCCCTTGAAAACTTTACTAGCTGCAGCTTCAGAACGCGGCCGATCTCCCATCTCAGAAGTACACAGATAATAGTCACAATTTTTTATCAACTGTCCAGAAATGAGAACATATTGGTTTCTACAGAATGACACGAGGTTTCAAAAATATATTGTCACATGGCAAAACAGAACTCAAGAAAAACAAAAGAAAATGAAAAAGAAATAAATCTTATGATAAAGGAGAACTATGGGGTCAGTGTTTTTCCCCATAGTTCTCCTTAGGGTAACGGGAGGACACAAACTAGCGTCCTCCCGTTACCCTAAGCTCAGTATACCGAGAGCTACAGCTCGCGGTATACTGAGACGCCGCAGCCGGAGCGGATCCCGACGTAGATGACGGGATCTGCCCAGCTGCGTGAGTGACAGCTGGCTCTGCCTATCTAGAGGCAGAGCCAGCTGTACCCGCACCCTCCCCCGTCCGTTCCGCCAGTCAGCGCTGGCAGATCAAAGCGTGGAGAGGGGAATCCACCCCCTCCCCCTGTCACGGCAGAGAGCCGTGACAGGATCGGAAGGTGAGCGAACCTGGTATGTGTTCGCTCACCTCCCGATCTACTGAGCCGACCTGTGACAGTCTCATTGTCACAGGTCGGCTAGAACTATGAGGTGAGTGGAAATCACTCATCTCAGAGTTCTCCTTTAAGTGATCAGTGAAATCTTATTGGTTGTTATGGGCAATACAAACACTTCTCTCCAATAGTTAGAAGTAGTAAATCTGGCCATACATGGATTGAATGTCGGCTCTTTCCTGCTGAATCAGCTAAAATCCATCCATGGTGGCCCAGCCGGCGCCTCCCTCTACTTGTGACGAAGGAGCCGGGTGAAAAACTGCCAGCCGAATAGTGACTTCTGTAAGTCAGCTGCAGTCACTGTTCGGGTATTCTGGCTGTCAGAATACAATACCTGGCAGGGGAGATTCCTTCATCCACGTTGTTTAGCATGGGTGGGGGAAATCGAACAATTTCTCTCTCTCACCCTGCATGGTGAACAAGAACAATTCTAATGTGTACGGTCAGTTTGAAGTGATCTTAAAGTCAAAATGTTTTTAGGCCAATTCGAAAGCTCATTAAACCACTTACAATGGATGCTGCTCCTTCATGTTTAAAAGTTTTAGGCTTCTGCAGAATTAGCTGGTCTCCTGAGCACTGGCCCTGATTTCCTGTTTTTGGGTGGCACCTTTCACTTGTAGGTTCCCATGGAGCCACCCTTGTGTGTGTTAGTAAGCTGTGTGTGTCTCCACCAACACACAGGCACAGCAATGCCAACCACTATCTGATCTACCCTCCTTCCACCCTTCTCCAAGCAAGTAGATGGACAGCTGCTGGAGACTGAGCTTTCCCTTGATCTTGTACTGGACAGGAAGATCGGGGAAGCCGAGCTGAGAGAGTTGGGGCCAACTGTTTAGAAACATGATGACTGTAAGTGTTGGGGAAAAATTTTAAATACTTTGCAGGACAAGGTATATTTGTTTGATCTGGATTCATTATTGAAAAAAGTTTGAGTGTTTAATACTACTTTAAGTCACAATCAACGGGACTTCTGTAATGCTGAAGACGTCTGGCTGCTCTTTCAAGCAGATTTTTCAGTTCACTGTCAGCACCATATCTCAGTACTTAAAGCCCAAAGGATAATAGTACTTCAGATACTCTTTACAGAGCCATCAGGAGTCACTTGGACCCCTAATGCCTCCTCTGCCCCTCCCCAGCCTGACTGCGTACACTCTATTCTCGGTCAGCTCTTTTCTCGTCTACGTAGCCTGGGATATGACAGCTCTGAACCCAGAATGTCCAGAGCTAAACATTGTGGGTTCATTGTTTACAGCAGAACTAAAGCCAAAAAACAAAATGCAAATTTATATCCAATGAACATATTAAAGGAGAACTATGAGGTGAGTGATTTTTAGAGCCGACGTGTGGCAATGAAACTGTCACACGTCGGCTCTATAGATCGGGAAGTGAGCAAACACATACTTTCTTTCCGATCATCTCCCTGTAGAAAGCGGTGACTGTCAGTCACCGCTCCCCACAAGGATTCCCCTCTCCGATCCTCCAGCGCTGACTGGAGGAAGGGACAGAGAAAGGGGCAGGCACAGCTGCCTCTGGATAGGCAGAGCCAGCTGTCAATCAGCCAGCGGGGTGGATCTTGACAGTATTGTCGGGATCCGTCCTGGCTGCGGCACTTTCCGTATATAGCAAGCTATAGCTCGCTATATACTGAGGTTTGGGTCATGGGAGGAGGTTAGTTGTGACCCTAAAGAGAACTATGGGATAAAAAGGTTACCCCAAAGTTCTCTTAAAAAAAAAAAAAAGCTTAGTTACAATATTCACCTTCAAGCCAAAGGTTACCCCACAGGTACTTTTTATTTGACACTAGATGTCCTCAGTCTGATGAGCAGCAGCATTTACACTCCACTTCCTCTGAACCCAGACTGCCCTGGACCTGCCCCTAGTATGTAATTGGACAGTGAAAGGAGAAGCAGAACAGTGATGGGATCATCTGTCCTCTCCTATCAACATGCTTCTTGTAAAAAAAAAAAACTGATTGGCTCCTTCTGCTGCTTCTTTTTCTCACACTCCAGCACTGCAGTAAAGGGACTACAAGAGCCTGACACCAGGTCACATTCTTACGCGGGTACTTATACTGTTTGCATTGAAAAATTAATTTAATGATATAATAAAGATTTCAGAGCGGAGCATAGAGATTTCCGAGTTATTTTTTGTCTATTGTATCTATATAATGTTGGGGGGGTTTTACGTCATTTTCAGGCCTAAAATGTGGAATATAACATGGGTGCAAAAATTGAAAAAAGGGCCTCAGTCATGAAGGGGTTAAAGATCATCTCTAAGAAAAACCTTTTCAAAGGTAGAGAGATGTAAAAAAAGACCTTATATGTGGGTGACAGATGGTATTAAAGGGCCCGACACCTATTTAGCAATGGTTGCTCCAGTTTGACGTAGATGGCCTACAATTCATGAGCGGAAAGCAAGAAAACACAAGGATAACATTTTCCTACCTGAAAATCTTGATCATCAATTCCAAACCTTTCTCTCAGATTACGGAAGACCATGGGGCAGTACTCTTTAAACTTAAAGTGACTGGGCATGTTTTCTCTGAAAAACAAAAAGTAACATGTCTTAGATGGAGTATGTAAAGCCAACCCCACTCACCCCCGTGCTGGAACTATCCAGTGATACATTCTTCATTAAGGTGGATCATTTCCCTATCTGAGGCATTGAAGCATTTATTTAGGACAACTTGGACTAAGAATGCCTGTAAGATACTCCCTGCATTGAGACAATGTGATACTTACTTGTTAAAAAGGTGATTGTCCACCTTGATTTTCGAATAAGCTTTGAAGTCATCAGGCATTAACATAATGGGTATTTGGACATGACTGAGTTCATTGATCTGCAATAAAAGAAATATACATGTTAGATCTGTTGGAGGAAAATGTACAATTCTGCACCAGTGGCATGTGTAAACAAATCCCCCCCCCAAAAAAAACTGTGACCCACAAAAATGAGACCTTGTCACTAGAACATTTATTTCAACAAAAATCTTACCATAGGACAAGGGTGATTAATGTATTTCATGCATGTTATTCACCTGTAAAAGTCTCCCTTATGTACAGATCCAAAGGCCCTGAGACTGTGGTGAGCTTTAGATGCATGTGCCACAATGACCACTGGGTTTCTATAGAAGTGGCTTCCAACTTTCAGTCAATTTGTTAAAGCTGAACTCTTGGAATTACACAACTACCCAATGCAGTGCCCACAGCCCCCACGACCCTGCAAGGGTTAAATGCTCATTAGGTCTAGGGGTACGGGTCCTGTATTGTACTTGATGAAGTCACAGTGCTGGCCAGAGAGTCTTGAAATAGAGGCCTTGGGGGACCAGTGGTGGAAGCTTGTCGGAGGACTAAAGTATCAAAGTAGCATTTGTTTTATTCCTGGAGTTTAGCTTTAAGGATAGGCAGATGTCCCCTTTGGTCATTCTTGGAGGGACAGTTGCAACCCTATATCTATCCATAGACAAAGCACTTATCACCAATTCACTGTTTGGAGTTTTATACAAATGATAATTCATACAATACAGGAAACGTTTATATATAGTCTGTACAATTGTTCAATTATCTCAAAAAAGGGAACTTGGCAATGTGAAAAGGTAAATTTGTAGGGCATGCAGGTGGGACGGGACTGAGAACCGATGCATACATTTGGTGTCCCTGAGAAATAGAAGCCAGTAGTTAATTCAATATTATATTGGTCTGAATAACAAAATGCATGAGGTTACATTAACACATCTTCATGAACTTCAATAGTCAGACCACCTGCTTAACAGACAGCGGAATGCACACATTCTAAAGCCCCAGCTCCCGGTCCAGCTGTACTTCCTGGTCATCCTTCTGCAGCAAAGATAAACAGGATGCAATAGAACTGTGAGGCAGAGAAAATAGCATCCCTCGACTTTCTCAATATCCTGGAAATGAGCCCATGGCAGAAGCTTCCAGTGAATTCCGTAACAGGATACAATGAAGCCAAGTTATAACAAGGGAGGAAAAAGTGTCCGAGCTGCTCAGAGTAACCAACCAGATTCTAGCTCACGATTTCTAAGCAACACTAAAAAAACAGCATCTACTATGTACTGGAGACAACCTAACGGGCTTCAGTTATACAAATGGAGGCCATTTCCTACAGCAACCACAGCGTGTCCAAGAGGAAACTCCAGTAGTGGGCATAGGGGTGTGGGCCTGGAGCGCAGAAGTCTTACCACCGGAGTCTTTGAGACAGACAACAATCTACTAGGTCAGGAGTGCGCAACCTTGGCACTCTAGCTGTGCTAAAACTACAAATCATGCCTTGGCCTCTGGAAAACATGCCTGTGGCTGAAGGTCTTGCAACGCCTCATGTGACTTGAAGTTCCACAGCTGAAGTGCTGAGGTTGCCTAACCCTGCAATATGTGCTTCTACGAAACAACTCAAAATACTCAAAAATTTGTGCAACAAACGTTTTTTATATAACCCAAAGATTATAACCCAAAAGTGACGGGCAAGTGATACAATATGTAATAACTGTGAGGAATTAGTTTATGGAGAAAGTTAAATTTCCGTTTTTAGGTAGAGGAGGGATAGGCTTCCCTGAACAGATGAAGGTTGACAGAGTAGGAGGAAGCCGGAGAGTTTGGGGTAGGGAGTCCAGAAAATGGGAAAGACTCTGGAGTCAAGCATGGGAGGAGGTGATGAGGGAGCTAGATAGTAGGAGATCTTGGAAGGAGCAAAGAGGGTGGGGTTTGAGTGACATTTTGAGACAAGGTTGGCGATGTAGCTTGGGGCAGAGTGTGTTTCTATGTTGTTGTTCATATTTGAATTTTATTCATTGGGCAAACAGAAGCCAGTGAAGGGATTGGGAGAGAGGGATGGCAGATACTGAACAGTTGGTGAGGGCAGCAGCATTCTTGGTGGATTGAATGGGGATAGTCAGTGTAAAAAGGCAGACCAAAGAGGAGGGAATTGAAGTTGTCAAGGCGAGACCCAAGCGTGAAAGAAGTTACAGCTCGGTGGTATCATTGGTTAAAAAAAATGGCATATTTTGGAGGTCAAGGAGGCAAGGTTTTGATGGAGATTTGTAAAATACATACTAATATGTCAGTTAGTAAAATGAGTGAGGCGCGAGGAGCCTAAAGGTGTGAGCTGAGAAGTAGAGAGAGATAGATAAGATAGTCTTCAGCATAGAGATGGTATGGAAAGCCATGTGAGGCTCAACCGACCGAGGTAGGAGTTATAGCATTCCATCCAACTCAACAAAAGTAAATTTTAAAAAGTCAGCGGGTGATACATTGTGCCATGGGACCTTAAAGTGACACTAAACTCAGGAGTTACATCTTATATCTTAAAAACGCATTCAAGTACCTTAACTATTAACAATAATGTATCTTATTTGTGTATCACTCGGCTGTAGATCATAAAATCATCTCTGAATTGGTGCTGACACTGTCCTTCCTTCTGGAGGGTGGCTACTTTTGTTCCCCATGGTCCCTGTGTGTGTTGTAAAGTAGCCACCGCTCCAAGCTTGCTCCCGTGATGGACTACAATCTCACATTTAGTTTACTAATTTGTATTGAGATTGTAGTCCATCATGGCAGCAAGCTTGGAGGGGTGACTACTTTACAACACACACAGGGACTATGGGGAAGAGAAGTGGCCACCCTCCAGAAGGAAGGACAGTGTCAGCACCAATTCAGAGACGATTTGAGGATTTACAGCCGAGTGATACACAAATAAGATACATTTTTGTTATTAGTTAAGGGACTTGAATGCATTTTTAAGATTTAACTCCTGAGTTTAGTAATCACTCTAATGGGGACTTGTTGTTCACAGACTGGACAGCAAGATCATGTTAGGAAACCCACTGACATAAAATGACAGTTGATCTGATTAGGTAACAATCTTATATCTGTAAGTGGTCTTAGATGCCGTCGGAATGAACCGATCACTACTGTTTCCCAGTCTGAAGAGCTGGTGTGGGCCATTTACTACAATTTGTCAGCATAGCTGACAAGATAATGGAGCAGTCCTCAGACTTTACCATAGAGACCCGTCATGCAAGTATATTCAACCGCCTACCAAAGTCCGATGGGATTGCAGGACACAGAGCATGGACTGGGAAAACACACAAAACAAGACGAGAAGACAAGATTCAGAAAAGTACATTTTACAGAAGAATGCCAGGTGCCGAGTGTTCATGAGAACCAACACAAGTAAGAGAGGCTACGAGAGATTAGAAGTCTACCAAATGTCTACAATGCATACATACAGATTAGGGAGCTCAAACAATGCATGAAGGGTTTTGGACGAGGGATAACAGCCAGGTTTACTGAAGGGGTTGTGCAGTTGTATTGTATTTAATGGGATACCACGAAGAAGTAATGAAATTTAATCTGTGCTCAAAACATTGGTAGTGATTGCAAATGCCATCCAATATCCACCTGGTGGGCAAATATGGTGCTGCTCCTTGACCATATTTGCCCAAAATATATTGGGCGGCATTTGCGACAGTTTTAGCCTCTTAGATAATTTTTTTTAATATGTGCTAATCTGTCTCTTAACATGCGCCCCTGTTTTCACCTTAGCTTGCACTACCTTTCCAACTGCACGTGTTTTGCACCTGTTTTCATCTGGACTTGATCTGCGGTTGTCTGAAACTGGAGTATCACCTAACAAGACAATCACAACTTAAGAAGCCCCCATGACTACTTCTTCAAGAAGCGACGGTTAAGCTTTTTGCCTGGAGTAACAAGTCTCCTTTCCTGGAGTCTATTTAATCTCATTTATCAACAACATTATACTAGCAACAAAAATCTGGCGCAAAGTGCGTCAAATATATTCTGTGCAAGTTCAAACACTCGCAATTGCTATGATAAATTCTCCCCATTGCATTTCTGATTCCAACACCCTTCTGGACTAGGCCTTACGGTGCATTTCAAAAAAGTTTCGGCTTAAGTTGGGGAAAGGTCACAGGACCCATTCCACTCATTGTTACTCATCATATTATCATGATGATTTATATACTGCTATCATTTCCTGTGGTTCTGTACAACGTGATACAAGCAAGGACACGCAATGCCGATAACACAAATAGATACAAATTTTACAATGACAAGTAAAAACAGTTGTTTTTACTTGTAAAAACAGGCAAATACATACATAGTGATAAGATAAAGAAGAGCCTTGTCTGTATATGCACAACAGTGTGATGGTTGACACAGCACACGAGAATAAAGCTGGCCATATATTATGCAATTTTTGGCCAGTTCTTAAGGAAATTAGTATAATGGGTGCCGAAGTCGGCACCCTTTCGGTCGCTGTTCTATCGAAAGGTCCGGCTTGTTGAGTTCTCCGACTGGTGGCATCACATCCGGTGACTGCCAGTAGGAGATCTATACCAGATGGTGCTAGTGAGCGTTCCCTATGAAAATCATTTTCGAAATCTCGAATTATTGCCACTGCGCCTGAGTGGCGCAGTCGAAGTCTATAACCACACTCGGCACTGCGCCTGCGCGGCTATCGGCTCCTATAACCTATGGCAAATATAACTTTGTACTAGGTTATAGAATCCGATGAGCCGATAGTCACAATCGCCATTGCGCCTGCGCGGCTATTGGCCCCTATAACCTAGGGCAGATACCTTGTAACATTGTACTAGGTTATAGAATCCGATGAGCCGATAGCCGCGCAGGTGCAGTGTCAATAGAGAATTTGGCAACGATTCCATGGCCATGAGCACTCGCTCTATCTGGTGTAGATCTCCTACTGACAGTCACCGGATGTGACATCACCAGTCGGAGAGCTCGACAAGTTAGAGCTTTCTATAGAATACCGGCATCCCTTGACCAGCTGATTGAAGGACCC